AACCCCAGTGGGCAGCTAAGCCACATGCAGTTGCTCGGTCCCAGTGGGATGGGGGAGAGAAGCTGAAGGGTGAACGTGAGAAAACTTGTGGATTGAGATAAAGACAGTTTAATAGATGAAGCAAAAGCCATGCATGCAAGAAAAGCAAAACAAAGAATTTGTTCACCACTTCCCATGGGCAGGCAGCTGTTCAGCCTTCTCCAAGAGAGCGGAGCTCCATCATGCATAGCAGTGACTTGGGAAGACAAATGCCATCACTCTGAACATTCCTTGCTTACTCCTTTCCCCAGATTTATGTGCTGAGCATGGTGTCCTATGATCTGGGATCTACCTTTGCTCTGTTGGGGTCAGCTGTCCCAGCTCTGTCCCCTCCCACCTTCTTGTGTACCCCCAGCCTCCTTGTTGGGGTGGGATGAGGAGCAGAAAAGGCTGTGATGCTGAGTAAGCACTTCCCAGCGATGGTGAAAACACCCCTGTGTTACCAATGCTGTTTCGGCACAGATCCAAAGCATAGCCAAATGCTAGATACTGTGAAGAAAATTAACTCTATATCAGCCAAAACTAGCATAGGGATGCTTTTTGCCTCATTACAGTTTGAGAAATTTTTCTTAGCAGAAACTTTTACCTGCCATTTATCCTCAGTTAAATATTTGTTTTCTGGTAAATTTCTTTCATGCCCTCTCTCAGAGAGTTGGATGATACTGCATGCCTCAGGAAGCACGGGGTTTTAAAACAGTCTCAAAAAGTCATCTTCATGAGATGTTTAATTCTAGAGGCTGTAAGCTTTTGTAAATTATGAATTAGGCGAATTATCTTTGAGTTATCCAGTCTTCTAAACTCTAAATATTGAGTTCCATAATCATCACTGTATAATAATTAAGTAATCACTCAGCTGGATTGAAATAACAGCACCATTTAATAAAAACCTAATCACAAAATACTTTTCTGTAAGTTATCCTGAAACCTAGGAACACTGAAGGTCGTCAAATGACATAGTTGGATCCCTGAGATTTTTGTTGCTTTGATGTTACTTGTAGGAGCTAGGATTTATCACAGAGGGACATCTTTTTTCATTCTAAAATCTGAAAATGTTAAAAATGAATACAGTACAGGGAATGAATGAAGTCATTGAGTGAAAAAGAACCTGAAAGTTGTGGTTTTTTTTTTATCATAAGGCCAATCTACCTTAGTAGACTAAAGGAGAAACAGTGTGAGGGAATCTTACCTGAGTTTCACTGATCTGAGCACAGGGAAATATTCTAGTTGTGAAATTAAGGTCTGTAAGCAGAGGGACAAGGATAGAGCAAGAAATAACACTTCCGCTTAGTGTAAGTAGCCCCAGATTGTTCGTGACAGTCCCAGTGTGTTATTTCTTATATCTGCATTCAGGGAGGGGAAGTCACAAGGATATTTTCCTTCTGCAACGCTGAGGTTTTTCCTTTCTTCTCCTCTCAACCGTCTGCCATCACCTCAAGTACAGTGGGGTAGGTGGGCAGCAACCCTTGGGTTAGATTGTATCTACCCAGTGCAGAGGAGGGAGGAGTTCCCTGATACGAATGCATAGCAGTGACAATAGTTGTTCTCCTGTCGAAAGGTAAATAGTAATTCTCCTGTGGTGGATGCCAGGGTTTCAGGAAGACATAACCTCTGAAAAGACCAGAATCGGAAGATGTGGCTAGCACATGCTTGGATGCAGTTCTCTTGTTCCAGACAGATGTCACCTTCTATAGAGGAGATGGGGTTTATCTCTAGAATGCAAAGTGCAGAAATCCCCTGTAGCGCTTCAGGTCAAGATTCAGCAAAGCAGTTCAGTATATTTTTAACTTCTTTTTGTTTTTTAACTTTTGTCTTAGTCTTGTAATGTTAGCAGAAGGGCACATCTACATAAGTGGTTGCAGACAGACCTGAGTGGAGTCTGCCTTTTCTCCAAGCGGGCTGTTCCCAGGCCAGCCCTGAAGCAGGAGCTGCACATGCACAGCTCAGTAGTGAGCTACTGTGTCTGGCTCAGCAGCACCTATGAAATACGTGCTGTGTAAAAGGATAAGGGGATATCTAGTGTGTGATACTAACATAAATGATTTTACTGTTCTATTGCACCTCTCTCATCCTTATACATATAAACTCTATAGAGCTGTTCATAATTAAGCACTGGAGTGTTGTCTGTTCTCTCTCTCTCTCTCTCTCTCTCTTTCTTTTCATCTTCGTACTCTTCTCATGTTGTCATATTGCTTTCCTCTTAAAGTTTAGGGGGCCCCTCTGCATGTTTGCATTTGTCAGTGCAAGTCACTGTAAAATAAATTTGCATCCTAGGAGTCAAGGATTCCTCTGTAGCTGACTGCAGGAAATCCAGTTGTTTGTCAGCTCCTTACCTTTTTCCTTGCCTCTCTCGTTGTCCGTTTTAAGACTTGTCCACGCACAAAGTAAGATTGTAGTGCCTTTTCCTACATGGGTACAGTTAGTCTGGGCTTACTCTAGTGGTGATAAGAGAATCCTGTACTGTGGCACTGGACCAACCACGTATGCATGGTGAGGTTGATCTGCACGTGGTGTGTGAGCCTTGTATTTTCCAAGTGCGGGCATGCTGAGCACATGCTACCCAGCCACCTGCTGGGGGAGTTGCTCTGGCTCCTGCGATAGAGATCTTACCAGGGGTTGGCTGCTGCCAAACAATTTATTCAGCCTGCTCCTCTCTGCAGAGGAAACCTCAGCGAAAGGAGTAGCTGCAGGTGGGCTGTAGGACACAATCACAGAGGCTATGTTGTTACACATCCTTGCATCCTAAGGATCTCACAGCCTTGGAGTTCAGCTGCATCCCAAGCTGTCTTATCTTCCCAACTAGTTCACCCAGGGTGGGAAGAGTCTTGGGCTCCTTTGGTCTCCTTGTCTTGAGCCAGGCAGCCCCGCATCTCGGTTGTGCTCTGTGGGATCCCTGAGCAGCTGCAGTGCCTCCAGGCAGCGTCTTTTACTGTACTGGGATTCAGACAGCAGCTGTAGAAGTAACGGGCAGATCCAGTCTCCCAGCAAGTTCTGTTAGATGTTGCTGGTACCAGGACTGTGTGCCTGGGCTCAGCGTGCAGGTTCTGCTCTAGCTCAGTCTGGGGAGTTTTTCTCTGCAAGCTGCCTTTCTTACTCTCCTGCCTTAACGGAGATGGGCCTGAAGATGGGACTCACAACTTCTGCTTCCACAGCAGAAGGTCTCTCATGAGGGAGTTTTAAGTAGCATGAGTGGTGGTGGTAGTTGGAATTCCTTTCTGGGTTGGGTCTTTGGTTTTGCTTTTTTTCCTGTCTTCTGAACCTGGACGCATTAAAAGAGAGTCCAAGACAGCTGCACTAGGCATAAAGCTACACACTATTATGTTTTTCAAACCATCATTAGGGAATCTGCTGTTGGGCGGTGTATGGCCTGTAGCTCATGGGCAGTTAATTGAGCGCTTCAGCTTTGACTAGTATGTTTTAATTAACAATTGCAACAAGCTTAGAGCCTGCTGGGTCCGCAGCTGATGGTCTTTAATTGTGCAAATATACGCTCAGATATTTTGAAATGAGGGTATCCGAGTGTGGAGGTGTGGATGGGAAGATGGGTGCAAGTATGTATATGTACAGTTATCCATTTATGATTTCCTCTATTGACAAAACATTATATAGGCACTGAAATATGTGGATTTATGTAAGACTTGTGTTTTGCATTGAGCCTTTGCAGATGGGGTACTTGCAAAGGGAAGTTGTAAATAATTGCAGTTGTCAGCCTCCCTCTATCTCTGCTCTCTAAAGGTACAGAAGAGAAGTGATTGACCAACTTTGTTATTCAAAGCATTTCCCTTAACAGCTGAATCCTGTGGGAGATTCCACTTAGAAGAGCTTTTCTCTGCCGAGGACTCTCCCGACAGAATCACAGACGGCTTTTGGTCTCCGAGTGTCACCGTGAACATCTAGTTAGGTCTATTTTTACATCTGAGATATGTTGAAAGATGTTGTACAGAGAAGAAGCAGTACAGTAAGATTTGAAAGTAGTCTATACAGGGTAATGCTTTGGGGGACAGTATGCATTTTCTTTCCTGAAATTTCTGATGTCTGTAAAATCATAAAACTTGAATAGGCACCAAGAAGATCGTTATGACCATACAATGTTCTAATTTTCTCTTTTCGCACCAAGATGGAAATTTTGTAGCTACTCTGAGGTGTCTTTGAATTGTAGAATCATTAAGGTTGGAAAAGACATGTAAGATCCTTTTTGGTGGTAGTTACTGCTACTGTAAACAGTTAATTGAGAAGAAAAATAATGATACACCCATCTTGTTTTCCACCCTTTTATTCTGCCTTGAGTGCTGGTACAGTGTTAGAACAGCCTTCCAAGGCATGAGAGAAAAATTGCTTTGGCCTGAGAAGGTGATTGGGGAGGTGGTTGAAGAGGCTTGACTGGAACCTCAGCTGCCTAATTACTCTTTATGGTGGGAATTGGGCAACTGACACTTTTGACCAGTGTATTACCTGGGTTTGGGGTGACTGTCACTTCACTGAGATGACAGGCACCTGCTTTCCTTGTGAACTGTTTTGGCTCTGGTGTGTAATCTGGATCTTGGCTGGCAGCTCGGCTTCATGGGACCTGCCAACCGTGCTGGCGTGGCCTTGTCTTGGGTTGGGAGGCGACAGGTCCCTGCTGAGCACGCTAGTGCTGAAGCGTCTCCTGTTGTCTCTGCACGGTGCCCCACGCTTGTAGCTGCGACCACCTTGCTGCATCCTTAGGGCCTGTGAGGCTGGGTGCTGCGGCTGGCATCTGGGCACTTGCGGAATGGACCAACCTTGACTTGCTTGAGTGCAGAGCTGCTCTTGGCTCCAATTTTGCAAAATAAAGGGTGGGACGTTACTCGTTTATTACCTTTGTCTAGGTGGAGGCAGCCAGCCCTTAGAAGCTAACTGCTCCTAAAAGTCAGGGCATTTGAGGTAGGATACTGATGTGATCTATTAATTTTTTTATTTTGTTGTGTTTTTCTACATTCCAGGAAGGGTGCTTGTGGCCTTCAGAAAGCACGGTTTCACGCCAGGGTGCTTCAGAGGTACAAATTTCTTATTGTCTTCACCAATGTGCTTTCCTCTTTCTTGTTATGTATATTTGGCTCCTCTCAAAAACGTGCATCTGTTTAGTAAATAAAGCTTTTTCAGTGTAGACCAAGAGCTAGGTTTGTGTGGACATCTGAGCCTGCCTTAACCCCCATTCTATGAATGCTTAAGACTTTTCCATTAGAAGAGTGAAATGCTACGTACCTGACAACTAGTCTTCATCCGCAGCTCCCTGTATCATAGTGAGCCTTTACAGGTAAGTGGCAGAGGTGTCTCTCATGCAATGGCTCAGTAATCTGTGTATTCAGTGAAATCTGTGAGAGCACTTGCTCTCCTCCCTGTGTTTCTCCTGGTTTTACGACACACACGCTATCGCCAGCATCTCCTGTCTCCCAGCTAACACAGATTTGTGGTCTGAGTGATATTTTGTGGGTGTGTTGCTCCAAGTGGCCCAGCTCACCTGTGTCAAACAATGAAACTTTCTGGTGGCTGACCTTGCATCTGTGCGGGTCAGAGTCTAAAGACCCTGCATGGACCCAAAAATGGGAAGAGCAGTTTGATTGATCTACATCTAAGAAGTTGCAGTGTCTCTCCAGATGCGGGATAGACTAAGTGAGTAGCAATAGCTTGTCACAGGGTGTCTTGAACTTCTTGTAAAGCCTGACTTTCTCCAGGGCTTAATGTGCTGGGGACATTTTTTCCACTTGCCATACAGACGCCTTGCAGGTCCTTCCTGGAGACCAAGTTTTGGCTGAGAACTGAGTAAGAGGAGGACACCTGATACTCTCCAGTAGCAAAGGTGTGAGATACACCAGGCTTTTATAAAATGTAGTAAAATGACCATCTGAATTCTTTGGAGATACAGAGTTATTACATTAACTCTGTGTAGGAGAGGGAGGCTCAAACTGCAGCTGAAATTCAGTATTGGGACATTTTTGTAGAACTAGTTAATTGTCAAGACTAGAGAGAAAACATTCCCTATGTACAGAAACAGAATTGTGTTCTCTTGGTTCTGTGTGTTTTAATGTCAGAAGGAGCTGTGTGAGGTCTTGGTCTTCCTTCATGAAGCTGTTTTCAAGTATCTTGTGTTAGATCCTTCTTGCAACTCCTACCTTTTCTTTTCACGTGTGTGTGGGGGGAGTACCTGTGCAGGGTATCTGCAGGGATTAATCTTCTAAGGTAGATGGCACAAGTATTTTGTGGTTTGTCAGTACAGAGCACCTACACTGCTTTGCTCAGACGTGCAGTCACGTGTGTCTCTCTTCCCGTTTCAGATCATGTATGCTCCAAGGTCCAGGGACAGGTTTACCGCCCCGTCTTTTATGCAGCGGGACCGTTTCAGTCGCTTCCAGCCCACTTACCCTTACATGCAACATGAGATTGACCTTCCTCCGACCATCTCCCTCTCTGATGGGGAGGAGCCACCGCCATACCAAGGCCCCTGCACCCTGCAGCTCCGGGACCCAGAACAGCAGATGGAGCTCAACCGGGAATCTGTCAGGGCACCGCCCAACCGAACCATTTTTGATAGCGACTTGATAGACATCTCGATGTACAATGGGGGCCCCTGCCCACCAAGCAGCAATTCGGGCATAAGTGCAACCAACTATAGCAGTAATGGAAGGATGGAAGGACCACCCCCGACGTACAGCGAGGTCATGGGGCATTACCCAGGCTCCTCTTTTTTCCATCACCAGCACAGCAACGTGCCTCCTTCCTCGCAGAGGGGGAGCAGACTTCAGTTTCAGCAGAACAATTCAGAGAGCACAATAGTCCCCAGCAAAGGCCAAGACCGGAAACCAGGAAACCTGGTCTAAGTTACTGGCCCAGGTGCGTTCGAACTGAAGACAAGGGAGTGAAGCAGGGCAGTGGAGGAAGATGCCCCCGTGCTCCGGTGCACAATGTTGTTACATTTCACATGGTACAACTTAGTAAAACCAAACGTGCAAACCAGTTCTTTGTTTCTGATTCCTTTCAGGGGAATTGCATGCAAAGCAGATGGAGAGAAATACAACCTTCTATTCAGTTTGTCTACGAGCAGTGTTTCAGGGGAGAGGGGGGGATATATTATTTTTTTTTTAATAAACTATTTCAATTATTTAATTCTAAAAGTTAACTTAGCACAGAAATGAGGCTTGTACAGCCTGTTTTTTACTCACTGAATGGCAGAAGGAAGAAGGTGGTCTTGCTAGATAAATGGGGGAAGAATTGGCCAGTTTGCTTTTTTTTTTTTTTTTTTCCTCCCAGGATGTGGATTTATTTTTTTTTTAAATACGAAACAAAATTCCTGTTTTGTGTGCCAAGGTATAAAGTTGAAAACTTAGATGAATGCAAGGAATTAATTTGTGTTGTGATAAATGTGTTTTAAAAAGTTGCACTATCTTAATGTTTTAAAAAAATATATATGAGGGAACTGTTTTATGTGAAGTTCTTCTATATGTTGTCTTTTCACCTGTGGAATAATGATAAAGCTCCGAAAGTAATCTGGAGGAGTTTGCCCACCTTCCCCTGGGTTTGCTAGAAAAAGGAGACAGGACATAGCCTAACACCTCTTGACTTTTACCAATCCAGAAATACAGGGACGCTTGTCTTTGCAATAATTTGTGTTCAAATAACAGTGCATCAATGAAATGTCTTGGAGACTTTTGGATGGAAGGAGGCAAATATGAAATCCCAGCAGTTTCCATCTCTTAGAGTTTAACTGTTTTGCAGTGTAGACTGTTTCGTAAACAGCAAAACAAAATCCCAGATGTGTTAATTTGCGTTGATTCTAACTAAGTGCTGCCATTCTTTTCCTTTCCTTAATGCAGTATCACCAGTACTTACAGTTTTAGAGATTTTTGTCCTCACTGTAGCCTGTAATGTATTTAGTTACATATCATGACATTATGCAATAAATTGTTTAAAAATGCAAGGTGGATTTTTTCCCCTGCAGCGCTGTTGAAATACATGAGACTCCGTTGTGCTTTTCGCTCTCTCTTTCATCCTTTAGATACTGAAGTTCAGTCCTGGAAATCCATCCTGGTGAAGCGAAGTGGCCTTTGGTAGCTCTAACCCTCCGTGCAGGTTCCGCAGCAGTACCGAGAGCACTCGTGGCGATGGTCTTGGCCCCTGCAGCATCCCTGGCGGTGACGTGGGAGCACCAGTTGTTTTCTTGCTGCAGACCATTTTGCTCTGGGCCCTGCTGCAGAAACCTTCCTCCGCGTGCGTCATCAGCTGACGCCAGCGGGTCCACGCTCGTGGGTAAAGATGACTCGTGCATTAACTTGAGCATCTGTAAGCCCTGGTTTTGCCATGCTGGTTTTAAGAGTAGCCGGAAAATGTTACCTGCCCACAAAGTGGCACGTGGGCCGTTTTGATGTGGAAGCACAGGCAGCGCTGGAAGGCAGTTGACGAATGGTGAAGTGGCATCACAAGCACATGAAAAAGCACAACTTGCACTTAAAATGCATTTTGGAAACGGAAAAGTAAGAACCCTTAGAGTTGAATAGTTTCTAATATATATGTGAGTGAGTGTATCATAGACCTTTTCACTTTAAGATCTTTCACTTTTTTTCTATTTTCTTAAGCCCTGTGCTTGGTTGAGGGCAGCAGCCCCTGAGGGCACAGATTGAGGAGTTCCCTGCCCCAGCACCTGGTCCCGTGGCTGGAGGCCAGATGTCTGCAGGACTTCTGTACACCACGGGCTCTGATAACTGAAGCGCATCTTTGATCTATGCAGAGTTTTAATGCCAAAACAGTGTGCGTGTGTGTGTGTGTGTGTGTGTGTTATGGGCCTAGATGTAGATTATTTTCTTCATAAGGTAATTTTGTTTCACTCTAGTTTAGAAAATGTCTGTCTGTTAGTCTGAATACACAGTTTCATTTGTCTCTGTAGTTGTTTTTTGGTTGGAGTCATGCAGGTAATGCAGAGTAAAGCTGCCTTTTAATTTATGTATTATTTGAAGGAGAGAGAGAGAGATTATGTGGTGGAATTCACTTGTATTTCTTTTTCCAATCAGACCCACAGGACAGGTGTTTAGGGATGACTAGGTTACTCTGTCAGCTGGGGCGCTCATCACATCTCATTTGTGGGAATAAAAGCTGTGAAATTAGATTTTTGCAAAAAACATATAAACATAATTTTTAGTTTAAAAAAAACCAACCAACAAACAGAAGACAAAACCAGCAAATGCTGATTTTGGTCTTCGGTGACTTTTGTTGTCCTTCAGAAGTGAGCTTTAAAGCTAGAGAATGCGTGTGCCTACACAGATACTGTGCTGTTGCCTAAAAGAGGATTATTTAGCCATGAAGCCTTCAGGTGAGAACAGCTGGAACTCAGTCGTCATGGCAGAGCACACCTGGACTAGGCCCTGGGCTTGGACTGGTTGAGTACCAACTTTTCCCCATGCACAGATCTCAGCAAAGTGAGCCTTGAAGTTGCCTCCAAAGTCACCTCTTGGGAACATGCTTTCTTTGAAAACAGCCCTTCACCATCTTTTGCCATCTCTGCATGCCAGTAGATTTATGCACTTCCCATTCACATTGTCCAGTAGGATGTGTGCTCTGTTATCTCTTTATTTTTCTTGACTGAGGAGGTTTTTCTTTGTGTGGTACATGGAACCAGTTCTGTAGAAAAATTTGTTTAGAAAGAACTTAGTGTTTGCTGACCTGATGATTTCATTTCCTCTCACATCTTAGCATATTCTCATAGTCTCATCATCCTTCTCACCGTATCCTGCTGTGCAAAGCTAATGTGCAGCCAGTGTTCTTGTCACCTCTAAAAGGGTAGTCACCTGTTACTTGCTATAGGTGAGCTTGCAATCTGCTGCTTTTGTTCTGGGGCCTCTTACTGGCATAAATACGATATTTTCTGATGAATGTTAGCTCTCCCTGATGGGAGTGCTGTCAGTAGTATAACATGGCAATACTGTGTTCTTCTGCTTTTCCTTTTGTTGTAGTGAGAGAGAATATGCCTTTGATAACAGAACAGTATGGTAAAAGAAGGAATATCAGAATTAGATAGCACTACGAATCTTTACAGCCTTTGAAATTGCCAATTTCTGAAAATAGGTAATTCTATGAAGCATTTATGGAAAACTCCCTTTGAAAATATCTAGAATTGATAGCCTGTATTCCACAGCCACTCAAATGAAGCTTGTAAATTATAAAAGATTTCTGCAAACATTTTAGAGTTGATCATGTAAGTTATGCCACCATGCTGGTGTTTTGGTTTATGTGTATCATGCACAAAATCCACATAATACGTGTGTGGAGTTTTCTGTGTGATGGATTATATTAGCCTGAATTCTGGTTGCATCTCCTGACCTTTGCCCAGTAACCCCACCTTCCCAAAATTCAGTCCAGTGATGTCCCCACTTCAGAAATTTTCAAGTTAAAAGCTTACGTTTGTTTTTTTTTTGTGTACTTTTAAGAAATAAAGGATTACGACCTCTATCCTACTGCAAAGGTTAAATTTTCCCCTATGTGGCTTGGCATGGCTCCCTCTTGGTGCTAAATATGCCCCATCTTCAGCGTTTTCCTATAACCTTGCAGGGCTAGAAAAGGCAGGTGGTTTAGCAACAGGAAAGAGGTTTCTCTCCCAGTTTCCTGATGGAGCACTTAGCTCTAATGCTGGATGTGCATTTAGTCCGGTTGTGGTTGGTTTCATCTTGGTATTCTACGAGCAAGCTCTGTGTATGTGACACTGCTTAAAAGATGCAGGTGAGGAATATGAAGACCAGTACCCAGTGAAAGGAGCTGTGTTCAGATCTCTTTGCTGTAGCGTGTGGCACGTGCAGGATTCGCAATACTTTGTGTAATAGGTTGTTTTTGTCGGGGAGGACCTACTTAAGCTACTCCACTGATGAACTCTGCACTTAACTCGGTCTCAGTCTGATGTGACTTAATTACAGAATGCTTTTTCCTACATATGAAAACTCAGATGCATGCCCGGTGCACAAGTTCTTGATGGCTACTGAGGAAGGTATTTATGTTATTAGTCGTGGAACTTGCCGGAACCATGGGTCAAGCTGTGCTTCATTTGGCATTTTATTACTGCTTTCTCCCACCAATTTATCCCACCTTCAAGATGCTTCTGTTTTCCCAAATCACTGAATTTTTGTGTTGGAAAACTGTAAAGAAGTGTCGCTGAGATTATTATTTTTTTTTTTTTCTTCTGTCTGCATGATTCAGGGAAGGGCAAGGAGTGAAAGGACGTCGCTTCTGAAAGAATGCACTTTCTTTGCAATAAGAAAGAAATCCTCGCCCTGCTGGCGAGTCCTGTGTGTAGCCTGTCTGGAACAGGGCTATCTCAAGCGGTTGTTTCTGATGGTGCCAGGCAGTGAGGTGTTGGACCTTAAAACTGACACTGTGGTCTGTAAGGAATGTTCTAATGGTTTGTAGAAGATTGATTACTAACCTTTCTCTGACTCTGCGCCCTTGATGCTCATGGTAGCTAAGGTAACCTGATTTTGTAGGCAAAGAAAAAGAAAGTAGTATGCTGGTGAAAATAGATAAGCTCCAAAACTGTGTGCTTTCTTTTTCCTTTTTTCTTTCTGCCCTTTGCCTTTTTTTTTTTTTCCCTTTCTGCAAAGATAAATAATAAACTTTCTGGTATATTGAAGGTATTTAGGATTATTTACAAGATTTCTCTGGTCATTACTGCTAAAGTCACGTCCATGCACACGTATATGTATCATACCTGCATGCAGACTTGTGCCTGTGTCCTACCCCTTGATTATCTGTATATTGGTTACTAGTCCATAATTGCCTTCCAGAAGTGCTCAGTGGCTATATATTGTGCTCTCAGGAACAATGACAGGTCATTTGTCAAACAACTGGAGGCATGAGGAATATTTGCGTTTCAGTCCCATAAATGTCATGGCCCTGTTTTTATCAGTAGAGGAGTTTCTTGCTGTGCAAATTTTTGCCCATGAGCTGGTGCACTACTGCCTCTTCTGTCCAACAGCTCT